GGTTTGGTAAAATGCTCTTTTCAATTGGTGCATTTTCCTATAGTGCAATCACACAGTAATCAGAAGTGAGTCATGCTGTAGTAACGAAACAAAATGAGAACCAAACACAAAGGAATTCTGAGACCTTGAGATCGTTGTTCAAAACACTATTCTGGAGAGTACACTTTAAAGTGCCTTAGATACCACTCACCCATTGAACTACCCGAGCAAATAATCACATGCCATTTTATAGGAAAATCAAATAAGTAGTAGAGATTTTTTTAACTTCCTTCATAATGCCCCAGGTAGGCCCCTCAAAAGCCAAGTAATTCATCAGCATTCAGTAGGTACAAATTAAACCCATCTAGTAGGAAGGTATACATTCTAGGTAACTGCAGTTTATCTTAACAATTGGGGAGTATTAAGTGTTTTGGAATTTAAACCAATGGGTGCATCTTAGATAATATGAACCAGAAGGGTGCCTTAAGACAAAAGCAATTTCAGTGCTTCCAAAGCCTGCTAGGGTGCCCCCATGTTGCTGCCAAGCTGGCCCACTACAAGTTCACACTGGATATCTTTTGTATACTTAAGATGTCTCGGACTGTCCTGGAGGTAAAAATTAATACAAATCCATAGGACCCAGTTTCTCTTAGGACTTATACCAAAACCAAAGATCTCAGGAGTCCAAGATGGTCTAAGAAGACAATAAGGTTCCTAAAAGAAACAAAAGCACTGAATCAAGCTAGTTCTCTAGCATCAACAAGTGTAGATGTACACAACACAACACCTACACGCATACAAACTCACCTAGACCTACGTAAACACCACCAGAAGACCTATAGGCCGAATTTATAAAAAGAGATGCCTCTCTCAAGCCCTTCCCAGCAATGATGGAGTCCAACTAATCGAATCTTACTCTTCCTGCTTCTGCTTGTCCAAGCTAGATTTATCTGCCACCCTCACTGCCACTATACTGATTACATCGGTGCTAATCTATGACACCCACTGTACCAAAGCAGCAGTCTCTGTTCATTCCTTGGGCACCTTAAGAGTTTACTAGAGCAGCTCTTGCTGAAGAATAAGATGTGTCGGTGGTATGGGTTCAGCACAGCTGAGTAGATGTACTTGGTGTTCAAGGGACAGTGAGCCACAGGCACAGCAGAGGACAGGCTTGAGAAGTGGGCCCTAGAGAGCTATCCTCACTTCACCTCTGGGTCACGAATTAAACGTACCTGTAAATGAGTGGGGGTTTGATGACCACCCCTCTCTAACAGCTTTGATTTCCTCCCGATCACCAAATCCACAGAGCAGTCATTAGCTTTGTTTCAGTCTCTGTCGCGTTTGCAGATAATCAGTCATTCTCCTCAAACAGCCACTTAGGATGGCAGAACATAAGTGCAAAAGCCAAAGAGACCCATTCGAAAAGTCAGCTAATTTTCTGCTTTCTAGAATGGCTTTGCAAGCTCCTGGCTCCACAGGAGGTTTGAGAAAAATGAGCAAGGACTAATGTTGGATGGCGACTGTCTGTGCTGGGAGTCAAGGTGTGAAGCTCATGGCGAGCTGCCACCAAGGGGACCACACTGCACTAGCCACACCACTGTGCTGCTGGGCTCCAGGGACCACAGCTGGTCTGCTGAAGATGAAAGCTTTGGAAGGCCCTAAGCTGCATGTCAACCTCATAGTGCAAGCCTTTTATATGTGGCTTCAGGAAAATAACTTCCTTATATATTAAGTTTTAAATAATAAATTTATTTTTATTATTCTGTTTATCAAAGGAGAAACAACTTCTTTGAGCCTTCAGGTTTTTATCGGCAAAATGGTATTAATAATAATGACAATTTTATTAAGTTGTTATAAACCTCAGTTGTATGCCAGTAAACTGTAATGTCCAAATGGACATTGGTTATAGTTGCCATTCTTACTTCTACAAGGCAAGGTCACAGGTGAAGGAATAGCAAGATTATCCTTGCTTAATCGAGCATCACTGAAATGACAGAATTAGCTGAAAACATATGGGATTTCCCTTGGTAAAATTGAGTCATAGAAAAATAATTGCCTAATATATATACACAGGACTAGTTGTGTTTTTTTCATTCAATTATTTAAAAAATTTAACAGACTTAATTCCTAAGTTCTTGGAAACCTGATCTAGAATTATTTTGGCCTATCTTGATTTAGCACTCAGTTCTATAGGATGAGGGCTTTCCTGGTGGCTCAGACATTAAAGAATCCACCTGCAATGCAGGAGACCTGGGTTCAATCCCTGGGTTGGGAAGATCTCTTAGAGAAGGGAACCACTACCCACTCCAGTATTCTGGCCTGGAGAATCCCATGGACTATACAGTCCATGGGGTCACAAAGAGTCAGACACGACTGAGCGACTTTCACTTTTCACTTTCTATAGGATTATGGCTTGTTACTGGTAAGGGTTAACTTTAAGTAGACCATAGGTTATAGGGTATGCTTTAATGACCCACAAAAATGTCGCCATTTTTCCTCATACACTGTCAGATTCGAACAAATTTGTCTTTGAAATATGGTATAAATATCCTGGATCAAAAAGGCTTCATTAATTACTGAAGATGAAAAGATCTGAGGAGGTTCACAAACAAAATGTCCCACAATGCAAAGTGCTTTGTGAAGTTTACACCATTTTCTCTAGGAATGTAATGTATCTGCATACTCAGTGTAACTATTGAAAACCGAAATCTGCTAAAACACTATGTTAAACCTTCTTGTATTATCCTTTCTCCAGCAATATGAATGTCTAGCAAATCAGCTTCACACAGGAACCTGCAGTGCTCAGGGTCTGACATTTGGATTACTTAGGTATTTTCACAATCTTGAGATTCTTAATAATTTCTGGACAGGGGTATTTGTATTTTCACGTGGCACTGAGCCCTACAAATCATCTGGCCAATCCTGAAGTCCAGAATAACTTTTATACTGAGAAACAGGCTTAAGCACAACTGACCAAATAAATAAAAAAATATATTTCTGAAGTTTTTGTTATTTAAAAGCAGTCAACAGAAACAATTCCATTTACCACTGCATCAAAAAGAATAAAATATCTAGGAATAAACCTAGCAAAGGAGGTGAAAGACCTATACTCACAAGACGAGTATTTGGAAAGAAACAAGATGACACAGATGGAGGGATTAGACCATGTTCTTACACTGGAATAATCAATATCGTGAAAATGACTATACAACCCAAAGCAACCTACAGATTCAATGCAATATCTATTAAATTATAAATGCTATTTTTCACAGAATTAGATTTTAAAAACTGTAGAAAAGATTTGCACAAAAGACCACAAATAACCAAAGCAATCCTGAGAAAGAAAAATGGAGCTGGAGGAAACAGGCTCCCTGATTGCAGACTATACCACAAAGCTACAGGAAGCAGTTAAGTACTGACATGAAGAAAGATATAAATATCAACAGAACAGGACACAAAGTCCAGAGATAAACCCAGGCAACTATGGTCATCTAGTCTTTGACAAAGGCAAGAACATACAATGGAGAAAAGACAGTCTCTTCAATAAGTGGTGCTGGAAAAACTGAACAGCTACATGTAAAAGAGTGAAGTTAGAATACCCCCTAACACCAAACACAAAGATAAACTCAAAGTGGATTGAAGACCTAAACGTAAGGCTGGATACTATAAAAGTCTTAGAGGAAAACACAGGCAGAATACTTTCTGACATAAATTACAACACATTTTTTTTTTATCCACCTCCTAACGTAATGAAAACAAAAACAAAATTAAACAAATGGGATCTAATTAAATTTAAAAGCTTTTGCATAGCAAAGGATACCATAAACAAAACAAACAGCCCTAAAATGGCACAAAATAATAGCAAACAAAGCAAAACCAACAGGGATTAATTTCCAAAATAGCTCATGCAGCTCAATATTTAAAAAAACAAAAAACAATCGAATCAAAAAATGGGCAGAACACCTAAATAGACATTTCTCCAAAGAAGACATACCGATGGCCAAAAAAGCACGTGGAAAGATGCTCAGCATTGTTAATTATTAGAGAAATGCAAATCAAAACTACAGTGAGGCATTCCTTCACACCGGTCAGAATGGTTATCATCAAAAAGATCTACAAACAACAAATGCTGGAGAGGAGTGGAGAAAAGAGAACCAAGAGAACCACTGGTGGGAATGTGAACTGGTGCAACCCTTTTTCTAAAAGACACCTGCACCCTAATGTTCACTGCAGCACTACTTACAACAGCCCAGTCCTGGAAGCAACTTGCATGTCCATCAACAGAGGAGTGGATGTTAAAGATACAGTACATGTGTACAAGGGACTATGGTTGTTCTTTAGTCGCTAAGTCATGTCTGACTCTCTTGTAACCCCCATGGACTGTAGCCCACTAGGCTCCTCTGCCCATGGGATTTCCCAGGCAAGAATACTGGAGTGGGTTGCCATTTCCTTCTCCAGGGGATATTCCTGACCCAGGGATCAAACCCATGTCTCCTGCATTGGCAGGTGGATTCTTTACTACGGAGCCACCAGGGAAGCCTCACAATGGACTATTCCTCAGCCATAAAAACAAGGAACTAATGTCATCTGCAGCCACATGAATGATTGTTGCACTGAGTGAAGTGAGCCAGACAAAGACATATATCATATGATATCGTTTACATATGGAATCTAAAAAAAAAACAGTACAAATAAGCTTATTTATAAAACATTAAGTCACAGACATAGGAAAGAAACTTATGGTTAACAGAGGAAAAAGGAGGGGAATAAATTGGGATATCAGCATTGACATATACACACTACTATATATAACACAGATAACTAACAAGAACCTACTACATAGCATAGGGAACTCTGCTCAATAATTTGTAATGACCTATATGGGAAAAAAAATCTAAGAAAAGAGGCTATATGTGTATGTATAACTGATTTACTTTACTGTACTCCTGAAAGTAACACAACATTGTGTATCGACTATACTCTAATAAAAAAATTTTTTAAACCAGTAAACTGATACTTACCCCAAGTCCACCACATGGTAATGAAGAAAAAAACTTTTGAGAGGAGTCACCTACATAGTAAAAAGACATGAAAAATATATAAATTTGAATATAATCATAGTTTTTAAAATTTTGGGTTTTTATTAATACATAATATTATGTCACATGGTATTTATCATTTGACTCAGAAGGAAACTGATCAAACTTTAGATTGTTAAGAACTCAAAGCAAATGATACATATATATACATATATTATTACCTATAGAGTTTATTGCCCCACACGAACACATACCTATGAAATTTAATTCTCAAGATTTTTTTTCAACTGCCCTACACAATTTACAATATATCACAATATCTTTCTTATTTATCATATATAAGTCAGCTGTTCCCTAAGTGTATCCCTCTAATGTGATGCTCTGAGCCACAAGGTTTATGAAATACACTCTCATTTTTCACATGCTCCAAATATGAAAATTTTTATCTAAGTATACAGACTTACCCTTAAATTCTAAATATAGATATAGCTGAGACCAAGTATATGATAAGCTTCTCCAATATTCACAATATTTTAAACAAAAGAGTCATAAATGAGATTTCATGGAAGTTTTAATCATTTTTGTTTATGAGCACTTCATTTTTCTATATTATCTACTACATGTATGGAGAAAACCAAAATTACCACTCCTAAAGTTCCAAGACTTATGTCTTACAAAGTAACTAAAGGAAAGGCAGTGGGGCATTTCTCTATCATAGTTAACTATCTCTGAAGTGATTCATATGGGTCACTGAGGCGATCAGTGGTAGAACCAGGTACAAATCTCCATTTCACTTATCCTAATTGTTGATGATCAACGAAATAAACAATAAAAATTGAAAACAGGTTTGTGATGAATCTTACGTGTCATGTCAGTAAAAGTCTAAATAGATTCTGCTGTCAGAGAAGAAAGTTTACTTCGAAAACAATAAACTGTATAAGTTGAGTTTTCAAATGCAATTGCTAACATATGGAAAACTATAAAGAAATATCTAAATGCAATGAAAAAATAAGATATCTCATATATATATAAGGACTTCCAACGGAAAAAAGACGAAAAGTCAACAGAAAAAAAAAATCGTGAAAAAATATTAAAATTGGGATACTGATATCAGTAAAAGATACATAAGCATTTTTATGGATAGCTTGGGGCATGGTAAAAAGTTTTATTAGTTGTTCCTCATAACAAAGATAATTCTGTATCAGTGAATATTTTGCAAGGATGTATTCATATGTGAAATTAAAATAAAAAATAATGTATATTTTAATGTCTGAACTTCTCCTTCCATAGTCAATGAAAAGGGCTAAAGGTAATATTACAATAGAATAAAGTAATTTTAAAAGTAATTTTAAAAAATGATTAAACTCTAAGTAAATATAGAAGACAAATAATACTTGAAAATCTACTTCAGCACTGTTTAAATAATACTAAACAACCAAATTAATCAATAGTTTAAACTTAGTAGTGTGTAAGAAAAGCTTATTTCATTGAGTTGACTTGATTTATTTTTTAATAACATTACATCACCTTATCCATGGACTGAGCTCCAGTTAGCCACAAGATAATGAAAACTGGTAGTGAAAAGGACAGGAACATTAATGCTCAGGAAAACCTCTCACCAGAAATGACTGGAGAGAATGTTTTAAAAGTGTCATCTTACAGGGTCTAGGGTATTTAAAGAGATAAATGGTGCCCATTTTCAAATCTAATTATTTTATAAGTTATCGATGTCTTTCATGATACAAAGACTGATGAATCTAGTCATAGTGAATTTTTATGTAAATCCTTTCTCCTAACACCAGAACATAACTTTTGAAAGTAGTAGTATCAATTAAACTCAGAAAATTCATAGAATTGAATAAATTTCAATTTACTATGTGTGTACACTGACAAACCCTCCCGCACCATCTGTGTTGGGAGGGATTAGAGGAAGAACAGGAAGTGTGGGAGTAAAAGAAAGGGATAAAGAGAAAATATCTTGATGGCTACGAATTTCTACACAATCATACATGGCAGCTTCAATTTGGTCTTTGAGATATAAATAAAAAACAAGCCCCAAGAATTCAAATTTCATAAAGAACAAAAAAATATGAGAAGTTAAACTTTTAAAAGAACAAGATTTTAAATTTAGACCCTGAATTGATGGGGAAAACTGATGTCGTTCAGAAGCATCATCAAATTTGAGTTTAGTGCTAGACATCAAGACTAAGCAATACAACATCCTTATTTCCTTTTATCCCATGGCCTGCACACAAGGCTGACACTGTTGCACTGACCCTGAGAGGTGCCTGTGGAACACCACACGTGTATCTACAGTTAATTCTGAAATCATCTGCTATATGAATTTTATTTCACATCGAATATTCAAAACTAATGAAATAAATGACCAAATTATTTGGACAAGACTGTAAAAAAACAAATAATTGATAGTTGGTGCTTTTATTGCGTACTTATTTGAAAGGGACTATTATCTAAGTTCTAAATTATACATTGGAATTCATTTCTAAATATTCAAATCTTTAAATGATATGCATGTTTTGAGAAAATCAGCTTTTCTCAAAAGTGTCAAATTTCATTTAAAAAAAGTAAAAAGTGGTATTGCCATGTTTTATAAGTAGAACAGTTCAAAGCTGCCAAAATTCAAACTTCATTTCTTTTACAAATATGGCCTTTCTCTTAATATGTGGATTATGGTTATCGTGGAACATCTCTGGAACACCTACGTGTAAATTTATCTTAATTAAATCCAAAGTTTGAGATCTAGTTAAAAAAAAAAAAGAAATGGGGAAAGTTCTCTACTTGTTTTCTCCTAACTAAACTAACAAATAATAAAAATGAACATAGTTTCCTATCCTTAAAATGCATGAGTATTTCGACCACAGAAGACTGTGCAAATTATTGTCTGGTTTACTTCATCATTTTGGTAAACTGGGTGGAATTATTAATTCATGCTAAAATAAGGAAATTTATTGTACAATATCCACAGCAAAAATTACTTTATGTAAAAATCTCCATGTGCAGAGACTGACTCCAGCAACAGAAAAAAGAAAACACACAGAGTGTAAATATCTAGATGGACTCACTTGCTTTATGTTAACATATAACTTTAATTCTACTATACAAATTGTCTTTCAACAAATTTTCATAAGGTTTTCTAAAAACTGAGTAATCTTCCTGTGTTCTCTTTTCTGTCAATTTCTCCCCACCCTGCATGCGCATAAATGCATACACACACACACACACAACTATATATGCTTACTTCATAAATTTAGGGATGCCTGCCACTTGTTTTAAAAGGGTAGATTTTTAGTGTTAAAATTGGTTACTGTTAATTTCCCCTCATAATTGCTTTCTAAGATGCCTGTCTACGACATGTCATCCACTTGCTTTCAAATTGTTTAGGACCAGTTAACATAAAATCATCTTGAAGTAATACTGAATTGGGTGAGAGAGTCCAATAATTTGGAACTGGCATAACAGGCTTACTGGAAAGAAAGGGACTTTCAAGAAAAAGTCCTAAAATGCATTTTTAGTTAAAACATAATCTTTTGGGCATACATCACCATGTCATGCATTGTTATTCTATTATAAAAGATTATTAAGAAACTTAATTAAACAGAATTGTTTCAGCTAAAATGTTTCTGTCATGAACTTTCTTCAATACTGTTGATTCTATCACTCATACAAAGTTTACATAAAGCTGTGAAACATAAATTTGATTTCAAAATCTGATAACAAAGTTTAGAAAAATCACACTTTAAAGATTAGGTTTATTAGTTTTCTACTTCTGCCAACTACTATTTGATTCCGTAACTAAAACATGTACTACATAGACTATATTAAGATTTAAAATGCAATCTTACTATAAAATACAGGATTCTAGGTAGAGTAATAAGGAGGTTTTCACTTAAAATAAGTTATATTGTGCCCTCTGTGTGTTAAGATCATAGAAGAAAAGAACTGAAAGACACAAAATGAATTTGAAAGGGGAAGATAAATTTGCATAAAAATGTGAAAAAAAATTTTTAGATTAAAAATGTAAACAAACTTCCCAATGCATTTACTCCCATCAACTACAACATGGTGACACAAATGCTATTCAAATAAAAGTCAACATCATAAACCCCGCACTGTCATTTTTCCTAAAGCAGGATTTTCTTACTCTACACTGGCTAGACTGTAGACCACCCGTTCCACAGAGTACTGCTGTTGGAAGAGCTCTTTATCACACTGCTTGCCAAGCATTTTGAACTGACAGCAGCACTGACTAATGACGGTGCTGGAATGTGCTGTTCTCAGTAGAACGGAGGCCCATACAGACCTAGGAGTGTTCTGGGGTCCAGCTTCTGTCCGTCCAGGGGGTTGGTGCCATACAACAGTGAGTGATGTTCGGAATGAACAAGCTGTATTTCCTCCAGGCTGGCTTTTCGACCTTGAATTCGCTGAAAGAAAACAGCAGAAGTCTACCGTACTTCACTGACAACATTTAGGAGAAAATAAGACCCCAAGTCACATTTAAGATGATTAATAATGGGCTGAGTTTCATCATGGAGCAATGCGGCATTGATTTGCGTAACAAAGGACCATAATAATACATGAAAAATGAGTGTATACAAAGTTCAGATCCAATGGATTGCTTAAGCCTAAATGGGCAACTGACATAAAACATATTCTTCTTTGGCATAAAAAGATATCTATAAAAATTTAGTAATTAGTAAAAATTTGGTAATAATTCATAGTTAACTCCTTTATAAAAGTATGTAGTTAAAAATAAGAACTACTGCTTAGCTGAGAAGTAAACTCATTAAACTCTTACTTTACACTCACCCAAAGAAGCTGCTGAAACAGATTCCTTACCATTTCTTAAAAGGACATAAATACCAATACATTAATACATTTGATTATTCCCCATACGCTGATCACATGTGTGCACCTCACAGTACTGTTCATCTAGACCAATGTCATTCAAAATATGTAACATGGGAAATGATAACAGTCAGGAACAGAAGGGTCTGTGATGAGGTCCACATAGACTTGAGAGTAAATACTGAGAAACTTTTATAGCAACCCCTGACAGAGTATTTTAAACGTCTGTTGAATCAGATATAATTGTGTATGTCTTCAATTTTTATTTCATTATTGTAGTATCTCATTTTGAATGTATTTTATAGAAGCATTAGTCTGTGACAGAATGGAAATTGAACAAAAACAATAACTCTTATTTAATCAAAGATAATTTGAGATATTCTATACTCAACCAATATTTCTACATCCATGTTAGGCAAAAACTTGCATCTTAGCTAACAAAGAATGATTCTTCGACACAGACAAAATTGCACGTAAGTTAAGGCTCAGTCAATGGACAAAGCGTTCTTCCTGGTCACATTTCTCAGTTGACAAATCTTTTAAACCAGTAAACACCGTGCTGGTGTATGAAGTTAATTAGCCTTATGTTTAAAATTGCTATACTTCCTAAAATTACTCAGATAGTGTTAATATTTTATTTAAAATATGTATCACAACAAGACATTTGTAAGGCAATATATTAGCAGAGAACTACAGTAAAATTCGAAGAGAGTGTGTTCAAGGAATGCTGTCTCCTCATGTTCCTGACCATGAATTACCAGTTGACATAAAATCATCAGGTGACAACAACTGCTCTCAGGACCAAGAAAATTCCACACTCAGTCTCCCTAGTTTCAGGTGATGCTGCTGCTGTCTGATTCTCAAAGGGGGCGAAAGGTTCATGGAAAAGAACCTTGATACACTGATACTTCCTAGAAGTTTATTGGCTAGTGGTGCTTGTCACTGAAAATAAATCACCATTTCACAGTGTGAGAGGAATAGCAGGGGACTTGAGGGGTAACAGGAAGGTAATAGGAATGATGGAAAACAGAAACTTCTTGACACTGTGCCATTATGTGCTGAATAAATAAACAAATGCTTATGGCATTTTCATTGCCAAAGCACTGAAGTTCCCTATGTTTGACACCCCATTTACATTTCTAGAAAAATAAAAAAATATGCTCTAGAGAAATTATTCCCAGGTAGGTTTAAATGCTGAAATTAAACCAGGCAGGTAATGCTGAAGACTAGGGCAAATTTATGATGGCCATCTGGTCAGCCACTGCTCTCGTCAATAAACAAACATGTTACTGACCTGGATGGCTTGCTGGTAAAATCACATTTGGAAATGTTTCTGGAAGACCAGAACAATCAAAGAAACAGAATGACAAGTAATGAGAAAAGGAAAGTTCAAAGTCTCTATTAAAGGGAAACATTTTAACTGTGAGATCTCAGCTGGTGGAAAATCCCCCAAGATAAGCGGGGGTAACTCCACGGCCTGAGTCATCTACAACTGGAACGAGCAGCACGCTGAAAACCAGACCGTGGCACCCAGTCCCAGTCTGCAGAGTAATGGACACCACAAACGACAGGGCCCCCGCTCGCATTTCTGTGAGTCTGTGAAATCCACAGCCACTGACATCTACACGCTGATAACGGCAAGATATCCATATCTTAAACAAAGTCAGCTATAGCTAACAATCAGACCCACATTTGGACCACTTGTATTCTTGCCTGGAGAAGCCCAGGGACGGAGGAGCCTGGTGGGCTGCTGTCTATGGGGTCGCACAGAGTCGGACATGACTGAAGTGACTTAGCAGCAGCAGCAGAAAGCTCCATCCCCTTTCCCATAAAGACATTTTTCAGCTCTACAATGAATTTTTGCCTCTGGTATAATGTTAAATACACTTAGCAATAAGTACAGCTCTATGTTTTCACGAACTAGTCATATATATTCACATACCATACATTCCATGCATCTCCTAACTCCCTTCTCATTCTCCCACAACCCCACTACGCTGAACGCTCAATCACACATTTGAAAAATAATCTGCTAACAAGATTCAATTATTGACAGTAGCTCAAGTGCTGATAAATCTTAAGAGGACACCTGCTGCACCTCAGTCATTCCCTTGTGGAATATCAGTTAACTAACGGTAAGGGCAGAGCATCTGGCCCAGCCTGCTTCAGTCAGTCAGTTCAGTCGCATCCAACTCTTTGCAACCCCAAGGACTGCAGCACGCCAGGCTTCCCTGTCCATCACCAACTCCCAGAGACTACGCTTCCCTGTCCATCACCAACTCCCAGAGACTATGCTTCCCTGTCCATCACCAACTCCCAGAGACTACTCAATCTCATGTCCATCGCATTGGAGATGCCATCCAACCATCTCACCCTCTGTCGTCCCCTTCTCCTCCCACTTTCAATCTTTCCCAGCATCAGGATCTTTTCCAATGAGTCAGCTCTCTGCATCAAGTGGCCCAAGTGTTGGAGTTTCAGATTCAGCATCAGTCCTTCCAATGAATATTCAGGACTGATTTCTTTAGGATGGACTTGTTGGATCTCCTGGCAGTCCACTTACTCTAAGAGTATTCCTCTCTGGTTTATACCCTAGTCTCCCCTTCATCACTAAAATGTAACAAAGGGCACAAGTTTTCCCTTTGATTTCTTTCTCCTGCCTCTCTACACTTCTTTTTGACTCCTAGGAAATATTTCACACTGGCTTGTTTTATTACTATAGAATGTGTTTTTTAAAAAATCCTTACACTATATATAAATAGCAATTCTTTTTTGTTGTTGATTGTTCTAGTTTTTTTTTTTTTTTTTCCCTCCTGTGGCATGCAGGATCTTAGTTCCCCAACAGGGATCGAATTCATGCCCCTTTCAGTGGAAGCATGGAATCTTAACCACTGGACCACCAGGGAAATCCCAAGATATAAGCACTAATTCTTTATAATCCTTTCTGCTTCTATGCCCACTGGAGAATAAGACCCACGAACAAGGTGTACATGTTTCTACAGAAACAGGGCAGTGGAAACCAATTCAACATGAAAAACGGCTTCTACCTGGAGAAAGGATCTGGAGAAAACGCGTTCTAAGATTTATATCTCTAAGAGGCACGGCTATGGGAACCCCGTGAATGACTAAGTAAAAATGCTGAAATAGCAACAGCTCTCTTTTTTCCTTAACACTGAGTAAATCCTGGAGTAGTTCATTTTGCCTCACTATCATCAGATATCTTAAATTCATCACATTCTACTTTTCTTCTCAAACTGAAGTCTCCAATGGTTTTCATTTTCTGGTATCATCATCAGTAATTTATTAAGTGATGTGTTTATGCTTAAATATAGACTGTCCTGTTTAATCCTTTCCCATATTTTCTATTTCCTGTGTACCCTTTATTCCTTCAGCTTTCTCTCATGATGTGCTCTTGAGCCAAAGGTCAAGAGTATAATGAGTCACAAAATAGGATAAAGTGCTCTGATAATTGTAATGTAGGGCGATACTGATTTCCGTTCTCAGAGATTAGCCAGCAGTATGTCTACCTAAAGTCATCTATGATTCTGATGATGATCTATGAATCATCTTGATTCTCAAAAGAACTTTTGAGAATTCTGAGTATATGGACACTCAATGCATATACAGGATGGCATGGGTATCCATCCAGGTATTTCTCACTAGACAGCCTAACATAGATCTTAAATACCTTGCCAGTATGGGTCTGAGAAAGTAAACTTACAGCTCGCCGTCCTATTTCCTAGTAAAGACACCCTGTGATATAGGATGTAGGATATCATTACTCTACTTCCATTCTTTGTGACCTGCACTCAAGTAGTTTCTTCCTATAGAGTAGGAAAGGAACTCCTATGCTAATTGTCTACATTGTGCTAAGCACCTGAGGACTCAGGTCTTCTTCATTATATCAGAGCCCCAAACAGTGTACCTTCAGGTTTGAAGTCTGACTAATGTTGTTCAAAATGACCGTATCAATGAGTCTCACAACACACCATGGCTCTTTCCTAAAGAAGTGGTCTTTCTGAATTAAAGCCTGTTAGTGCAACCTGATTACAGAAGGAATGTTCTGAACATGACCTACAAAGTCATACTGCAACAGGATAAAATGCAGCCTACCCACACCCACCCACACACAGAGTGCACACACGGTATAGATTTTTTTTTTTTCTGCCAAGGAGCAGGGAGAAAAGGAAACAGTTCTATTCCTTCCCCTCCTGTGTTCAAAGCCTGGATTGAGGCCAGTGTCCTAATCAGTTCTCATTGGCCCTGGAGGAATCAGAACCTTTTGTAAAATATAATAAAGGGCATAAAATCATGATAAAATGCATGAAAAAGCAGTGCCTTTGGTTAGGGAACTAGAAATAATTTAGCAGAACAGATGGATTGCATTGGTTTGGTATTACTGAGGACATGAAAGGGCTCATTTTGTGGCAGTTCCAAACTAAGAGAAAATGTCCAACTTAAATTTGACAAGTCAAAGTACCTGCCTCTGCTGGGAGAGACCCCATTTTCTTTAATCATTTTCAAAGCGATGACATATTAGGCAAGAATTTCCATTGAAATATCTCATTTTCTGAAAATA